GTTGCTTACTGTTTTGACATGTTCACGACCGTAAACACGTTTATGGCCGTAAACGTGTTTACGGCCGCAAACTTAGTTTGCTATCTAGTCGAGTATATAAGGGCTTGGAGTTAGTCATTTGTATGGTTGGATGCCAATCAGTTTACAACTAGTGTTTGAGTTGTACCATACGGATATTTGATATAAACGTGTGCAAGCTCAATTCTTATTCATCTTATTGTTATTCTCGATCTGTGATTGTTTGATTACAAGTATTAGATCCAGATTCGGACCTAACATGTCGGGTTCCCTCATTCCTCACACCATTCCAACCTCTTATTTCTCTCTCTAAACTCTCTCTCCTATCCTAGGTATACGAAACCTCGATCTGTTTGTCATTTTTTAACAAAAGTTTTTCCGTTTTGTTGTTTTCACTGTTCGTCCCCTATATCTTACTCTATTATGGTCATGAAGCAAGAACCCTTCGGCACTCATAATCTCTCTCACTCAGTAGACACTAATGAAAACCCTTGCATACTCCCCTACTTCATTTATGGAAGATGATGGGTCTTTTTATTTAAATGGTGAAGTGTGTTTTACATTTATTCAAAAGATTTTACTATTTTTTCTTATTATGTTTAAATAATTTCTAGAGGGTCTACGATTTTTTACTACAAGATTTTGATTTTTTTTTTTTAATATTTTTTCACGGTGTAGATAAGTTTTCACCATTTACAAGACTATTAATATTTAGTTTGTGATATTAGAGATGAATAAGCCCAAACGATTACGTTGATGTCTCCATCTTTTTTCTTCAGGGAACAAGGGACTTGTGGCTACATTATTAATAACATTGTACTTTTTATTATTAATCCCTACAAATTCTACATTTATTTTTCCCAAAAAGTTTAAACAGTCCATTTTGGTTGTGCAGAAATCATGGTATATTTGCTTGGTGGATGAAGACGTTAATGTTTAGAAAAATGTACACGGGAATGGAAAGGGGAATGTGAATCAGAAACAAACACTAAGAGCAAGAGAACTCGAAGATTTCTCTACTACCACCAAATTGATGTTGTCACTATACACCATCTTTCCATTCTTAGGGCCTTATAAGAACCCAATGTTCATTTCTATAAATCTGATCTTGCAATTTTGTCACACCCCAAAACCAAGAACAGTAGAAACGTTCTGGGGCGGAGGACGTCATGTAAAGTATCACAACAATGCAAAGTAGTAAACAAGCAACAACATCATCCATTGCATTAATAGTATAATTTTAAATACAAGTGTTTTCTTTCATAGAATAAAACAACATAATGAATAATCAAAATAAAAGACGAGTCTTGACTGCTCCGTCTTCACCAAAACCTGGTCGTCGTACCTGTCTACTGGTGACCTGAGATTAAAAGTTATTTTGAAAGTGAGTATCAGCATAAAACTGGTGAATTCATAAGTATTTTAGCATCATTGATTTGTAAAAATTGTAATGTAAGACTTGTAATTGTTTGAGAAAAAGTTTGCATAAGTATAAAAGATCTTAGAAAATCCTATATTTCCTACTAGTATAAAAAGTAGTCTTCTACCAAGACCTGACTGTTTTGTAAGTGTGCATCATTGTAAATATAACGATTTTCCCATGTATAACTATTATTATAAAAATATAGTCTACCTCTTCGTTTAAGTGAGTGTATCACAAAATAAAGGTAGTAGGGGAAATAATATATTTATATCAAAATATATCCTACCTCAAATAAAGGTAATAAGGAAATAGTATAATCCTTATGAAAGCATCCATTTGTATAGGATAAAAATGGCGTGGTAACTCGCCGAACAGTACAACCGAGAACATCCGTAGATGAACACACCTTCTGTTGCGAGCAGCCAAGTGTAGGATGGTCAGTCCATGAGTATGTAGAAGTATGACTTCATGTAGTATGTAGTAGTATCTCTCCATATAGTATGTACTAGTGTCTCTTCGTATAGTATGTATTCGTGTCTCTCCGTATAGTATGTACTAATGTCTCTTCATATAGTATGTATTAGGGTATCTTCATATAGTATGTATTAGTATATCTTCATATAGTATGTATTAATGTCTATTTGTATAGTAAGTATTGACTCATGTATGAACTGACTCTTCGTGTGATTCCTTGTACTAGGAATAGTAAATAGTATCTCCTAACTATACCTGTTATAGTTACTAGTAATGTACGTGTATAACCGAAAGTATGCCTTTGCTACCCAAAGGTACTGAATTGACTGACAGAACTTTTATGTCTATATATGTATACATAATATATAACTAATATTTAGACGACATTCGGACAAATAACCGATACTCTAAGGCCACATCCAAACAAGGAAAAGGAATTAAAGCGAGCTAGCAGTACTAAGTCCTTTAAACATTACTTATATAACTAGACATGTATAGGCATGCATTTGACAATATAAAAGTATAAGATAAGTTTTGTAAAACCTTTGAAAAGTTTAGTAAATAAGAATTGATGACTTGATGTCAGTTTATAAAACGATTTAAAAGCAGTTTGTTTGATAAGAACAGTTCAGAGTATAAGAAATCATTTGTTTGAAAACATAGATGTAATAGAGTTTGAAAGGAAAGATATAGTATGTAATACAATTTGATAAAGAGTTTAGAATGTAAAGATGTTTTGAGAAATCATTTTGAAGTAGTATACTGAGTAAAACAGCTAAAGGTGTAGTAAATATATAGTTTGATAGTTATTAATCACATGTGATTGATATAATAACTATTATGATTCAACTTGTATCCCCCCCCCCCCCCCCATAAAAGAATTTAAAAAAATTTAAAAGGTTAATTAAGGGGTATGAACTCACCTGTAGTGAGTAGATCGTATGGAAGTGTCGGACAAGTGTTAGGTGTCAAGTGAAGATTTGAACACACACAATGATCCTAATAACATATAAAGACATATATATATATATATATATATATATATATATATATATATATATATATATGTACATAATTAGTGATTATAACAATAATTAGACAAGTAAAGACACCCTAAAACACAGATAACACTTTGATTTAAGTGCTAGGAGTACATTAGGGTTGCATCTAAGGAGTGTAGGGCTTCTCAAAGGAGATTATGGTCCAAATGGTAACAACTCATGAATTTACGGCCCATGGTCATTTCCCCATGAGTTTACGGTTGTCAAATCATGGTATTAAGTACCATTTTATGTATTGAGGTCTTATATGTCATAAATAAGCATCCTTACTTCAAGTCTAAGCCTTAGGAAGTCATGGTGGCACAATCTTACTCCTTTATAGAGTTTACGGACCATGGACCATTCCTCATGGGTTTATGGCCGTAAACTCTATGTATTCATGGTCTTTTTGATGTTTAAGGTCCCTAGTTCAATGGTGGTTGGTTCTAGGCTAAGTTCTAGTCATTAGGAAGGAATATAGGGCATCATTGCACACTTAAAGGGAGTTTACGACCTTGGGAGATCCTTTACCGTAAACTCTCATCCAACCCTTAATTCATGATGATTTTAAGGCCTAAACATGTATAATCTAGTGTAAAACAAGTTAGAACAAGAGTGCTTACGATATAGGAGCTTGAACTGGTCGGTTTTGTCCAAGAACACTAGTGTGTGTTCTTGGTGAAACTTGATAATCTATGAAAACATGATTTTTGTGGATGAAATCATGTAAGGATACTAGATTAAGAGATGTATCAACAATTCAAGGAAGAATATTACTAGTTTTCAAGATCTAAGGTGAATATCGGGATGATCGTTGATAGGGTTTGAAGGAAAATCAACCAAGGAATGAAAGAATGGGAAAAAATGGCCAAGTTTTTCTTATATAGGCATGGAGTTTACGGCCCCCATGCCATTTGGGCTATAAAATCTAAATTCTTGGAGTTTTGGAACCTAAATGTTGCACACTTTACCCTAAAGTATCCTCTCTCCAGCTATCTCTTGCAGTACTAGGCTTTAGAACACTCAAACTGACTTTAAACCAACTAAAAAATAGCAGAAAGTATTTAACTTTTAATTGAAGTGCTTGACTGTACAGGATAGAAAATTCCGGGTTGTCACAAATTTCAAGGTCCAATTTGCAGCTCAAAAGGCTTTGGATTGAAGATTTTACATTGAGTGATACCATATTTAGCTCATTTTTATTGTAGCATCCAATAGCTTATGTGGTAGGCTTGCTTATAATGAGAACGATACCTGCTATATGCGTAAGAATTTGGTGGTGCATTTCAAGTTGAAAATGGTGGTAGCTAAATGATTTAAAGTTGTAAAATCTCTCTTTTAAAAGTGTTGGAAGTGATTAATTTATGTTGCTTTTAATGCTTAAATTTTATGATTTATAATGGCTAATCTTTATATATACTTCATTTTTTACATGTTATATATTATTTTTACTTTGTAATTTTTATTTAATACGCATGTAATATCTAATTTAATTGGTTCGAAAACCCTAAACCACCTAATCGTTTTGATCATCCGGTTCTCATCTTCAAAAAGTTCAAAAAAAGAAAAAGAAAAAAAAAAGGAACAAAAGAATGAAAGAAAGAGGTGGAGAAGGTGAGATAGAGGCGGCTCGAATGTGGGGAGACTAAAATAATAGTAGGGCTAGGGTTGTATTGTTCACATCCATATATGTAGTAATGAATGTATAAATTACATAGTTATTCCCTGGAATTTGAGTATGGGAAAATGAATTGATAGGGTAAGATACTTTAGTCCTTATTTTTTTTGTAAATTAAACACTTATACCCGATTTTTTGTAATTATGCAATCCTTTTGACCAGCTATACCTGGTATACCGGTCATATACGAATTTTATTTTATTTTCTTGAAATGAAATAACCAGGTGGCATCCACATGTCACCTTACGTGGAGAGTGTTAAATTACACCACATTAAAACAAAAATTAGGGCTCATTTAATCAGTCATTCCTCCATTTACTCATCCGATAGTCCTTCAAACTTCTTGACTCACAATCACCATCAACAATGGCAGAAAATGCTGAAACAGTCGTTGATGTACACTATAATGGAGTGTTCACACCTACCCCGTTGATGTATCTTAATGGAGTAAAAGCCTTTGTACCATACACAGTTGTGAACAAGAAGAACTTCCCTGATTTCATCCCATTTCTTGAAAAGCATACTAATGGAAGATGTATAAATGTGTATTACTGTCCACATGAAGTGAGGTTGTCGGAGGGATTACATGCCATTCAGAATGACTGCAATTTTGATGAGTTTCTTGAAGATATCAATGAAAAGAAGAGACTAGATGTGTATGTGGATCATCATCATGAACCTGTGTTTGATTGGATTCAGGAGGAAGAAGCAAACCTTGGAGATGATGATTTGGTTTCTATTGATTATATTGACTCCATTTTAGAAAATGGACAGAAAGTTGAACATGTAGAGGACGATAAAGTTATATCTCTCAAAAGAAACTTCAATTATCAATACCTCAACAAATTTCTCCAATACAGAATGATGACTTGGTTGAAGAAGATTATAATACAATACGACCTATCTACCCAAGACATGATCATACTCATGAATGGAATGAGATGAAGCCTCGATTAGGTATGAAATACTCTACTATTGTTGAACTTAAATACTCTCTTAGTTGCTATGTTGTAGCAAATGGTTATGATCTGTGGTATGAAAAGAATGACAATAGTAGGTTGATAGTTAGGTGCTGTAAAGGAAAGAATCCAACATGCCCTTTTAAATTGTATGCTTCCTAGATGAAAGAGGAACACACTTTTCAGATTAAGTCTCTTAATAAAGCACAAGTGCTCTACGACATTCAAACTTGGGTCAATTGTAACATATAAGTGGATAAGGAAACAATTTGTGAATGATGTTTTGGAGAGTCCTAAACTAAGTTTGAGTAAAATGAAAGCCCTATTATCTAAGAGATACAACATTAATGTAAGTGCTGGGCAGTGTAGGAATGCAAAAAAGTTAGCATTGTCTTAAGTTGAGGGAAGTTTGAAAGAACATTATGCCAAATTGTGGGATTATGCAGCTGAAATCAGAAGGCCTAATCCAGGTTCACATGTTGAGGTGTTCTTGGAGCCACAACATGATAATAAGGTGGTGTTTGATAGGTTTTATGTTAGCTTTAAAGGTGTTATGGATGGGTGGTTAGATGGATGCAAAAAGGTAATTGGGGTTGATGGTTGCTTTCTTAAGGGTGTTTGTAGAGAGGAGCTCCTATTAGCAGTGGGTAGAGATGCTAATAATAACATTTATCCCTTAGCTCGGGCAATAGTCAATGTTGAGAACAAAAGGACATGGAAATGGTTTTTGGACAACTTGATGGATGACATTAGAGAGGGGGGGGGGGGGGGGGGGAATGGTCATGGCATTACAATCCTCTCAGATGGCCACAAGGTAAGTATTCTATTTTTTTCAATTAACTTTAATTGTTTTGATCATTTAATTAACTAGTCATTTAATTGTTTGAATCAAGGATTATTTGAAGTTGTGAAGGAAAGACTTACTGATGTGGAGCATAGAATATGTGTTAGACACATTCTAGCTAATTTCCACAAAAAAATAAATAAATAAAGGAGAACAATACTTTAAACCATTTTGGAGGGTTGTGAGTGCAACAACTGTACGAAAGTTTGAAGGGAGTTCACAATCACAGAGGACTTTCGTATCTACTCTGTGATTACTTGAACCTGTGGAGATTCTTGAGCCATTCAACATCTTCTTTCTTTTTCGATGACAAAACCGTGATTCCTCCTGATTTTGGATGTTAACATTCGTTTATAAGGAGTGACTAAGTGACTAAGCTAATTAATTATTATGCAGTTGTTTTAAGTGCTACGTATGCTTTTACATCAGCAAAACCTATACAATCCAATCAAAATGATTTAATATGTACATATTAATAAAGTATAAGGGTTTAATTAAAAAAAAAAAAAAAAAAACTAAATGTATATATTTTAAAAAGTAACTTACGGTTATCAAGTCATCTTTTGAGTATTTATTAAAATGTAAATCATTTATTTTACTTTTTTCATCATTTTGTTTCTAAGTGTTTACGATCTTTTTTATTGTATGAATTTCATAGTTAGCTTATTTATTTTATGTCTTATTAAAAAATGTTGTTCCAAATAAAAGAAAGTGAATGATCTTGTACCTACTTTATTTGTTCTTATCATGAATTTTGGATCTATTTCGATCGAATTTAAGAGAATATGTTGTTAGAATTCGATCGAAATTAAGAGAATATGTTGTTAGAATTAAAAAAATAATAATAAAAATAAATAAATAAAAAATAAGTGTCAATTGTTTCTTTAAAGAAATGAAAATTATAGCTATATACAAAACAATCGAGAAAAAATTTTATTTAGGCTGTAAAGAAAAGGAGAAATCTAGAAAATTGAAAAAAAAAAAAAAAAAATCGTCTATCATAAAAAGGAGAAATCTAGAAAATGATGAAATTAAAAAAAAAAAAAAGCATTAAAGCATGAGATTTTGTAGTCATTCCTTGCGGCCTAGAGCAATTAAAGGGTTTTGACAAAAAAACATTATTTACAATTATTATTTACAATTTAAAGAATATGTATGAAAATAAAAGTTTTTTATATTTTCATAAGACAAGTGACACTTGTATATTTTGTTATCACCGACTCTATCATAATTTATATTTTTATTATAAGAGTTGTACTTTATGCTGCTATTATTTATTATAGACAATTTTAAAACAAAATATGAATATGTATACTTCGTTTACATTTATCAATTAGAATTTGATTTGACAACAGGTTATACAAATCATACAAATCATGAAAAGAGAAACGATTACATCCGGTTAAACTTACATCCAAAATTATTCAACAAAATCATACTATTTGACATCTACAAAAATACCTATATTTTACTATAAATACTTTAAACTTCATTCTTCTATTGAGTGGGTGTAAATAAATCCTACTATATTTATCGAGTGTAGTATAAATAAATCTCTCTACGGTCAAATAAAAATAATATAATTATATTTCAATTGTTCCATATAATGCCTAATTGTCTGTCATTTTGGCATTACCATAAATCAACACGATCGAATAAAAATAATATAACTAATTTCAGTTATATGAAAAAAAAAGTCTTTGGTCTACCATAAATTAGGACTGTGCAAAAAAACCACACAAACCGCCAGCACCGCACCAAATTGCACCGCATAATGCGGTTTAGAATTTTGTGGTGCGGCTTGCGGTTCATCATTTTATCAAACCGCACTATGCGGTGTGGTTTGCAGTTTGTATTTATAAAACGGCGGTTCAAACCGTACCGCACCGCATGTTTTATATATATATATATATATATATATATATATATATATATATATATATATATATATATACTTTCTTTTTTTTTGTTATAACTTCGAATCACGATTTAGAAATGGTGTATATAAATATATTTCTTACAATAACTAAATATCTATAACGTAACATTAAATCACTATTAGATCAAGATCTCATGGTTTACAAAAATATATCAATTATAACGGCAATATAAAACAATAACAATGATACTTACAAAACTATAGTAATATGAGTCACAATTTATTAAAAACGATTTAACTCGAAAATTGTATTTGTTTTTATAAAATGAAAACAATCATTTTTTCTAATCCGGTCAGGTTTTTGGTTTTTTGATAGATTTAATGTTAAACAACTCATTAAACCGCACAAACCGCAACTAAACCGCATAAATCGTCCGCATCAAACCGCACCGCATCATGCGGTTTTGAACATATGTGGTGCGGTTTGCGGTTTCTAAAATATTCAAACCGCATATGCGGTGCGGTTTTGACTTGAAACCGCACCAAACCGCACCGCGCACACCCCTACGGCATAAACTACTAAGATAGATGTCACAAAATACATAAAAGTTTAAAAAAATGCATTTAGAAAACAAAATTAGGATTTAGGAGAATCGAAACTCTCACCTTTGAAGTGTGGGTGACTAGGTGTTGTTATTTACAGCCGAAACTACTAAGCTCAAAATCATTTCAAAAGTCAAAAACTACTTTGACTCGGCTAAAAATCATCATTACAAACAAAAATATTCACACCCGAAACTACTAGGCTCAAAACCATTTCTGAAGTAAAAAACCACTTTGACTCGGCTAAAAATCATCATTAAGAGCAAAAATATTACTATAATACTACTCTTAATAAAATTTACATTTACAATCCTTCATATTATACGTTCATTTCAATTTTGAGTTTTGCATTTTTAAATATAAATAATTCATATATATACCAATAAATTTTACATTTACAGTCTTTTACTTTACATATTTGTTTTTTCTGAAATAGATAAATTGAATTTATTGATTGAATGTGTTCAAGTATTACATCGAACATCATCTTATTTATATTATTTACATACTAATTATATTTCACGACAACATAATCGATATAATATAAATCTTTAATAATGATTAATTATTATTATTATTATTCACATCCAACCGTCTTTTATATATTAATTAAAAGTAGCTTCTTAACTTTTGAATTGTACATCTTGAGGGGTGCTAATATCTTGTTTTATAAGAGTCCCATCATTTTTTATTATTCACATTCAATTGTCTTTCTAAACGTTAATAATTTTTAATATGCGTATGTTCATATTTATTTATTTTTGTTTTTTCTAACATTTTCGGGTGTGATATTGTACGGTTAACATTTTGTTTTTTGTTTTGTGTTTAGTAATTGTACTAATTTATGGCTCATATCTAGCGTTTTTTTATAATATTAATAATGTTTTTGATGTTAAAAAAAATGAACCATGAATTGTAATTAATAAATAATAAAAATAATTATTTCCGAGAATTATTTTATCATCTCATTTGAAGCATGAGAAACTAATGGACATGTCATATTCTTAGGTTCTCGTAGATATTTAAGTTATCAAAATAACTTAACTATATATATATATATATATATATATATATATACACACACACACACACACACACACACGCGCGATGATATATGGTCCACTACATGGCCCAGACTACTCTAGAGCGCCAGCCAAGTCTGGCGCGCTCCTGCCTGTCCTATCTAGCGTTCCCTTGCCAGACAAAAATAATAAGTTTAAATCTATTTTTCGTCTTTTTATATAAATAAACGTAATATATATTACTATTTTTCGTAACTACATAACTATGTTAGACAAAAATAATAGGTTTAAATTAGCATACTAAAAAGAAATTTTTAAAAAGTTTTAAAGCATTTTCTAAAAGGAAAACATACATATATTTCATAATATTACATATTTTGTTGTTAATATAAGAGTTTTTATAATAAAATTATAACATTAATAAATTTACGATCAAATAAAAATAATATAACAATTTGCACATTTATGGTCATTAAAGTTATCCAATGTTTTTCTATAAACTAGTAAAGAGGCCTGGTTGGCGCCCTAGAGTCGGCTGGGCCATCTAGTGGACCATATATCATCGTGTGTTTGTGTGTGTGTGTGTGTGTATATATAGATATATATATATATATATATATATAAATAGTTAAGTTATT